GCAGGGCCCGGCGCCAGGGCACTCAGAGGCCCTTGGGGGTCGGCAGGTTGTTCTAGTGTGCGTCGTGGCCCTCGAGCAGGCTGCGGTAGGTGGCGATCTCCTGCTCCAGCCGAGACTTGACGCCCATGAGCTGCTGGTACTCCAGGTTCTGGCGCTCGGTGTCGGCGCGCAGGCTGCTCAGCTGGGCCTCAAGGCTGCTGATCAGCGCTTGAATCTGTGCCAGCTGGACCTCGTATCGCGCCTCGGTGTCGGCCAGGGTCCCTTCCAGGGCGGCTTTCTGCAGCGAGAGAGACAGGGCACTGTGGTACAGCAGAGCTGGGTGCCCAGAGAGACCTCGAGCAGGCCACCAGCCGGGCTGCCCGAGGCTGCAAGCATCCAGGGGCGGTGACTTACCATGCTCTGCTGCGACTGCAGCTCGATCTCCAGGCTCTGCACCGTGCGCCGCAGCTCGGTGATCTCCGTCTTGCTGGTCTGGACCATTTCTTTGTTGGTGGCCACCTCCTTGGTCAACACCTCGGTCTGGGACCGAGGAGGGGAGGAAGGATCAGCAGAGTCAGGGCTTTGGATGGAGGCACCAAGCCCGCTCCCCGGGGCGCCCTCCTACCTGGCTGATGAACCAGGCCTCGGCATCCTTCCGGTTCTTCTCAGCCATGACCTCATACTGGCTCCGCATGTCGCTCAGGATCTTGGCAAGGTCAGTGCCTGGGGCAGAATCCACCTCCACGCTGACCTGGCCGCCCACCTGGCTCCGCAGGGCACTGATTTCCTGGGACGACGCAGTGGAGGTGGGCATGTCAGGGCCAGAGCCTGTGGGGTGAGGCCCAGGTGACCCCTACCCACACCCTGGGCCGCAGGGCGCTGATGCTCAGGGATCCGCACCAGGGGGTGGGTAGACTGGGTCCCCACTGTGCCCTGCTGGAACCAGGGAGCCATGGGCATCACTGGGGGTAGGCAGAGGCCCCACTGCCCACCTCCTCGTGGTTCTTCTTCAGGTAGGCCAGCTCCTCCTTCAGGCCCTCGATCTGCATCTCCAGGTCGGCCCTGGCCAGGGTCAGCTCGTCCAGCACCCTGCGCAGCCCGTTGATGTCGGCCTCCACGCTCATGCGCAGGTTCAGCTCCGTCTCGAACCTTCCCGAGGGCCCATGGTAGTCAGGTCGGCATGGTGCCCGCACCTCTGCGCCCTCCCCCTTCCTGCCCAGGCACCACTGCCACTCACTTGGTCCGGAAGTCATCAGCAGCCAGGCGGGCGTTGTCGATCTGCAGGACGATCTTGGAGTTCTCAATGGTGGCTCCGAGAATCTGGGAGCAGCAGGCGGGAGGTTGGCACCAGCTGGACAGACCAGCACTGCCCCCCTCATGCTCTCTGCGATCAGCCTGTGCCCAGGAGCTGGGCAGGGCACAGGGTGGGTCCAGCAGGGAGCCCTGTGCCCAGGGACACTCCGAGTGCCCTGAGGGGTCTCTACACCAGACTCAGGGACAGGAGGCCTGGGGCACTTCAGTCTGCCCCCTCTCCCAGCACAGCCTGCCCTCGGGAAAAGGAGCCCATGGCGGAGAACCTGCCAGTGCCAGGCCCTCCGACCTGGCTCTGTTCAGCCCAAAGGGCCCCACGGTGCAGAGCTGGGCCCTCCAAGGCCACCCCCGTCTGACACTGCGTGGCCTGCAGCTCATCCTGAGGGCCAGGCTGAGTCACAGCTCACTGTGCCACCCAAGGGCCACCTCCCAGGGTTTAAGGAAGCAGATGGCATGAAAACCAGATGGGACCGCCCACGGCAGGGTAAGAACAGCTTCAGCTCTTGTCGTGTGTGCGTGTGTGCGTGTGTGTGTTTGCACACACGCGTGCATGCTGAGTGAATGAAGGGACAGGAGGAGAGAGGAAATGTGGTAAGGAGCCGGGTCCCTAGGAAAATCAGTTTTCTCTTCGGGTATGGTTGGTTTTGTTTGTTGGGGGGGTTGTTTTGTTTTGTTTGAGACAGGGTCTTACTGTGTCGTTGAGATGGACCTGGAACTCACTATGTAGCCCAGGCTGGTCTCGAACTCCCAGTGATCCTCCTGCCTCAGCCTCCCGAGTGCTGGGATTACAGGCATGCGCCACCACGCCCAGTGGGTATGGTTATTGATATTGGCAGTGGGGACTAAACTCCCGCCATTAGGCAAGTATCCCACCACTGAGCTACACCCCTGGCCCAGATAATGGGTTTCTCATTATAGATCACAATTTTAAATTGTGATAAATACTATTCTACCTGGGGCTTTTGGTTTGGTTTGGTTGTTTTGTTGAAACAGGGTCTCACACGTGGTCCAGGCTGGCCTCGGAATTTGAGGAGACCCTCCTGCCTCGCTCAGCACCTCCCCCACACCAGGCAGAAGGGCCCAAGAGAACTTGTGGTCAGAGAGCTGCTGCCCCTTGCTGTACCTGGAGCTCCAGGGCAGAGGTCTACAAGAGCAAGATGGGGCCACTGCCCAGTCCCTCCTTTCCCCGACTTTGGGGCCACGTCGGCTCTCCCATTCTGCCTGGGTGGGCGCACACACACATGTATTTGCACCAGGGACTGAACTCAAGGTCTTTGCTCTGAGCTACATCCCCAGCCCCTGTTGTTTTATATTGAAACGGGCTCAATAAATTCCCCAGGCAGAGCTGGAGCTTGATGTCCTCCTGCCTCAGCCTCCCGGAGTGCTGGAATTAAATTACTCTTCAGCCTGGGAGGCTGGGGTGTGAGAGGGGTGGGAAGAGACCTAAACCTGATCTCCAGGGGGAAGCAGACCTGAGGAACGCAGGGCCCACCCCGGTCCCAGGGTCGGGTCAGACTCCTGCTCCTCCCTGCGCCCCTGGGCCTCACGCCTAGCCCCTCCCCGCCCCTTTTCAGCCCCCGGGTCCCGTGGCACTGCCCCCTGCCCCCTCCCCCTGGGAGTCCTAACGGCGGGCGCCGCCCACCTTGCTGCGCAGGTCCTCGATGGTCTTGTAGTAGTGGCTGTAGTCGCGGGCCGGGCCTGGACCCTGCCTCTGGTACCAGTCGCGGATCTTCACCTCCAGGTCGGCGTTGGCCGCCTCCAGGGCGCGCACCTTGTCCAGGTAGGAGGCCAGGCGGTCGTTGAGGTTCTGCATGGTGATCTTCTCGTCGCCGCCCAGCAGCGCGTCCTGCCCGCCCATCCTGACCGCGAAGCCGCCCCCTAAGCCCCCCGCGCCCGAGGACACGAAGCGCGTGGAGGACACGGACACACCACGGCCTCCCGAGCCGCCGTGGATGCTGGGCGCACGGAAGGCCCCCGTCCCCAGGCGCAGGGAGCCGCCGCCCAAGCCCCCGAAGGACTGGGTGCGGTAGCTGAAGGAGGTCATGGCGAACGGAGGACAGTAGCGACAGGCACCGAGCTGGCGGGTGAGGAGTGGCCTGGCCTTCGCCCCGCGCCTTTTATGCCGGCCTGCGGGGAGGGGCGGGGTCGGTGGGTATCTGGGCCTGAGGAATTCGCAGGCTGGGAGGTGCAAGCGGCACACACTTGGGCGCTGTCCATTGGTCATTGGTCACCCACGGCCCCTCCCACGCACTTCTGCCCGCCCCGTCGAAGCTGCAGGGCTCCTCCCGGTCCTCACCCCATCCACACCCCCAGGAATTGATGTCCCCGCCCTGGGACCCCTAGCGCCCCTTCCTTGTGAGCTGCTCCGACCAGAGCCCCCAGTCCACGCCCAGAGCCCCTCCCCGCTGGAATCCACAGCCCTGGAGAGCCTGCCCCAAGGGGATCCCCTCACCCCCTCCCACCTACCCCCTCAGACAAAAGTCCTTTCCGGACAAGAGTGCCGCAGGCTGCCCGGGCCTTCCCCACACTGGCCGCCCCGCCCTGCAGGACACCTGGCAGCTGCTTGGGGAGCAGCTCTGGAGCTGGGTGGGTGCCCTCTGGGATCCCAGCTCCAGCCGAGCCCCCCACCCCGGGGCTGACCCACCCTGGCCCTCAGCCTGAGCGAATTCCTCAGACCTCTGTGGGGCCCTCCCTGAGGAATCTGAGCGGGGGAGATAGGTAGCTTCCCCAAGAGGCATTTAGCACGGTCCAGGCAAATGGGCTGGGCCGGGCCAGCCATCCGTGGAACTTAAAGACCAGGGGTCTATGAGGCCCTCCCAGCCCTCTGCTCTTCTGCACCAGCCGCCAGCCCTTTGTCCCTTTCCGGAGCCCTGCACCCCTTGATGGGTTGGGGAGATGGCCAGTCACCCTCCTGTGTGGCCTTCATTTCCCCCGTGGCATGAGGGCCGTTCCTGTGTTTACAATCACCCGCGTCTCCTGTGACTATTGCCCCTAACTCCTGAGCCCAGTCTTGGGAAATGTCTCCCAGCCACTGCCTCACCCAGAACCTTGGGCAGGAGGAGGGAAAGTAGGTCTGGGTGCCCAGAGGGGGCCAGGGCCCAACAATCACAAAGGTCATGTGTGAGTCACCCCTTATCGGTGGGGCGGGGCCAATATCCGTGGGCAAGGTGGCCAGATAGCTGCAGGGCCTGATCATCTCTGTTTTATGGTGGAGGGAGGGTCTGGAGAGGGCCCCAGTTCTGCCCCAGAGATTAAGGTTCTGGTCCCTGAATTCAGAGGGGCTCAGTCCCAAGCTGTCTTGGCCAGAAGCACAGAGCAGAGGACGGGTTGCTGTTTTTACCGGGCTTCCTGGATCGTCCTGTGCCTCCCAACCGATGAGGAAGCAAAGTTAACAGCCGCAGCTTCCGGCCTCCCGATCCTCAGCCTGCAATCCTGAGTGTCCCGAAGCCCTGCTCCCAGCACAGGGAAGTCACAGCCCCCAGACGCCTCCCTCGCTCCCCTCCCAAAGACCTCGTCCATCCCACAGGTCCCTGGGGCTGTCCTCCGGGAGCCCTGTGGCTGTGGGCACTTCCCCTCCACACAGGTACCAGGAGCCCAGAGCACAGGGCACCCCCTTCCCAGGAGGTGCGGGAAACCAAGGCTTCCAGCTGCCCTAAGGAGGCGCCTGCCACCCCACCATGCCAGTCTGCCAGCGTCTGCTCCTCTCTGCTCCAGGAGGGTAGGACCAGAGGAACCCCTTCCAAGCCCTGGTCTCCACGCAGCTGGGGCTACAGAGGCAGGGACAGGGCGGTGAGCCCTGGGGGGGATCCCAGATCCAGGGAGGACCTGACCCAGCTTCCACTGCCCGGTTCTGCACACCCCAGCACCCCGAGACCCCTGTGGGAGGAGATCCAGGTCCTGAGAGCAGAAAACGCTGGCTCTGACGTGCTTTCGAGCATCCACAGGGCTGGGTACCAGGAGCCCTGCAGACTCTGCTCTCTTGTTTACAAAATAAGAGAGATGCTTAATGAAAACGAGGCCTGCTTCGAGGGGAGGGTAAACGGGACCCTCCTTGTGAAGGGTGAACTACCGCGCCTAGCCAACAGCCAGCACTTGAGGAATTTACTTTATTGTACAATATTAGTGCTAAATAGCATGTGGTTTTCACCGTTACAGGTATTCTTGCTTAGTTTTGCTTAACTAGTATTTGTAAAGGCACAGTGACACTCAACAACTAGGCCACACACCAAGAGGTCCAGGAGGAGATTTCGTTAAGGAAGGCAGGTTAGGGAGAGAGGACAGGGCAGAAGAGGGGGTGGGAGGTGGGGGTGGGCTACGGTGTATTCCTGAGGAGCGGGCTGCCTTTAACCTGTCACAGGCCGGGTTGCCCTTTCTGGGTTTGGTCCTGGAGAAACGGGTTTAACTTCTCCCGACCGCTGTAGCCTTAGGGGGAAGGGAAACTAAAGATAAGAGTGTGAAGTCTCTTAAAAGGCCAGAAGCACCAGGAAAATGCAGCCTGTGATGGCAGCGCCAGGACCCTTAATGGTTTTTCCCCAGTATACTTGAATCTTTTGTCTGGGAATAGCTGCTCAGGTGCCACAAACTACAGGAAATTCTGGTCCAGACCAAGGCTACCTGGAGAGATACAGCGACTGCCCAGGGCAGGCCAGGGACAGCTGAGTTGAGCCACTGGGTCCCAGTGCCTTCCGGTCCCCTCTGGAAGTGCAGCGATCCTCCCGAGAGCTGGGATTACAGGCGCGCACAGCCCACCCTGCTCGTGTTACAGAAGGGATTGGAGGCAGCAGAACGGAAGTAAGGTAACAGAAGCTGACTCCTTCGATGGCGATCTATCCATCACACCTAATGGCGGTGCCCTGATTGACCCAGTCCTGGCTACAGCTCCCCCTTTTATGGGGCTTTACGGCCTTGCTCTCACTCAGGCGGTCACACTGTATTTCAAGATTCACTTTGCTGCCGTTCAAAACATGGTGGCCAGGCAGGTGAATTTTGACCTGGATGCAGCACTTCTCTGGCAGGGGAGGTTACTTTAAAACTCATTAAATTATCTACTCTAGCCCAGGAGAAGGGGCCGTGTCTGGTCAGCGAGGTTACCAGTGGTTCTTTTCATTTACAAAACTTTTTAGGGAGACCGGATGCCTCCAGTGCCCGTTGATTCTAAACCAAACAAAGCAAAGGCGAAAAAGTTATTTTACTTTAAAGTGTTCTCTGTCACTCACTGGAGCTTCCTGCCGTTAGCAGTTGTACACAGTGCCTGAGGGAGAGGTTAAGGGAAGCGGACGGTCTTCAGAGACCCCTGAAGGAAGCCGGGGGCAGGAGCCAGGTCCCTAGTGCGACCACAGCCCCTGCCAACTGTGCAGGCCGCGACGCTGACCTCTGTCCACCGCCCTTCAGTGAACTCTGTCGGTCGGGTGTTACCGGCCCCTTTTCACAGTCAAGAAAATTTAAAGGTTTCGGCTCAAATGATGAATAACACAGCGGAGGTTGCGCCAGAAGTCGTGCGTGGCCCAGAGTCCAAGCACAACCCCTAACTCCCCGAAGCCACTGCCCCAAACCTCTATGCGTCCCCTCTTCCGCGGGATGCAAACCCAGGGAGCTTCCTCCTCTGGCCTGAGGCAAAGGCATCCGGCGATGCCACCCACCAAGGTCCCAACCGGGCTCCCTGCTGCCACACCCGGCCGGGGGTCGGTCGGTCAGTCCAGGGGCCACACAACCCCTGTTCCTGAGACGGACTCGGGGACCCAGCACAGCAGGATTGCAAGCCGGAGGACAGAGAGGGGAGGAGCAGGCTCCAGACGCCACCTGCGCTCCAGCGACCGCAGCTCGAGGTCCCTGCGCCTGTGTCCCAGGGCTGCGCATCGCGGAGGTGAGGCTTCGGGGCTGCAGGAGGGAGCACATCCCGTCCTGCCCCGGGACACACGGAGGTGGGACCACACCGTCCCTGTCACTGCTTCCTCAAGCTCCGAAACCTGAGGGGAGAGAAAGGCTAGCTGGGCTGGGGAGCACAGGAAGGGGAAAGGGCGGGGAGCCTTGAAAAGCAGCAGCATCCCCGCACCCCCAGAGCATCTCCGGAAGTGGGGCGCCAGCTACCTGGAGAGGAGGCGGAAGTCACGGCTGGAGTTTCTGCACAAAGCACCAACCCCTGCCCAGTCAAGGCAGCCAGCTCGCTGCCTCTCCCCAGCCCAGGAGAAAGCGGGACATCCACCATCCCCAAGCAGACTGGCAAACCGACAGAGCTTGCTAATATCACTCACTGAGGGCGCGGCAGGCAGAGAACCCCTCAGATGTGCTGGGGGGGTTTGCGATTTTGAAAAGTTCGTTCTAACCACCACTCTTTTTTTTTTTGAGACTGACCTGGAACTCACTTATGTAGCCCAGGCTGGTCTCGAATTCAGAGCAATCTTCCTGCCTCAGCCTCCCCAGTTCTGGGATTGCAGGCGTGCGCCACCACGCCCGGCTGTACCACTCTTCATATCAATGCCAGAGAAGCCCTGCAACATATTCAGGAAGACACACAACCAGACACTCAGGTGTGGTGGTGCACACCTGTGATCCCAGCACTCTAGGAGGCTGAGGCAGGAGGATCACTGCAGATTCAAGGCTGGCCGGGACAATTCAGTGACTTA